TATATATATATGTGTGTATATGTTTATATATATATATTTATATCAATATATATATATATATATATATATATATCGGATCTGTTTCTGTTTTTTTTGGAATTATACACATACACTTAACATTTGGACTGGGCTTTTGTTGCCTTGTCAACTTGTGACTTTCTCACCGAGTATATTTACTCTCTTGGTAGCCTATTCGTACGATTCATTTTATGGCATTCTTTCCTTTTATTCCTTTTATAGGCTGCGCCACAGAGGAAAAAGAAGGAATCAATCCTTGACTTGGAGAAGTACATGGACAAGTCTGTCAGAGTGAAATTCAATGGCGGCAGAGAAGGTATGTTTATAACCAGTGACCAGGCTTCGGTGATTGCGTCGGATTGTTTTACAATGTTCTCATTAGAGAATCTTCAGATGCTATTCGAGGAGTTTTTGTAATCACACAGAGGAAGGTTCTTGTTTGAAGGTTCTCGTCCCTTCGATGCTGGTTTCACAATCAGATTTATAAATTGTGGCTTCGATTGAACATACACGGGCAGTCGTTCTGGACAACTTTTTATAAACTTTAGTTATCCTTTTTTTTCTTCTTCACCACAGTTGTTGGTATTCTGAAGGGACACGACCCTTTGCTGAACTTGGTGTTGGACGAAGCGAAAGAATACAATCCAGGTATGTCGCATAAGCACTTGATAGACCGAACTCGGTGTACCGGCTACACGAACAATGCATGTGACAATAGTAAGAATCCTACACTTTTTAGTGTTCAAATATGGAATGCCTGATCGGCTGTTTTAGCGTCAAGAATCACCTGCTGTATGACCTGTATCTTCACGATGAGTTTACAAGGTTTCTCTTCCACACCACGTGATCCATTTTACCGATGTGAACTCGTATGTATTGCATATTAATTTTTCGACATATATATTTTCCTCGATGGCTTGTCTATCACAGATCCCGAAGACCCTTTCCGTTTATTGGACACAACCAGAGACCTTGGCTTAGTGGTTTGCAGAGGTACGGCTGTAATCCTCATTTGCCCCACAGATGGTATGATGGAGACGGAGAACCCTTTTTTCGAGGAAGGAGACGAGGAGTAGGCCCTAAAAATAGATTGTTAGACAGAACGCACCATGTACATAAAAAAATATATTCGTATTGAATCAACGAGGGACACGCGCATCAAGCACTATTGTGGAGTGTGGTTTGGCCACCATACACGATTGACTTTCACAATATCATTTTATTTCTGAATAGCTCTCATTACAAGTGCACTGTGTGCAAGCTGATATCACCTATACCTCTTGTGTCACACAAGACTAATGGTCGAATATGGACACGTTCAAATGGCTGCAGCTATACCTCTGTACTAACTGTCCTTGGCCTAACATCCCTATCCCTCTATGTCGCATCGCTGTGGTTGTAATGGTTCAAAATAACGATAGAGGGGGAGGGGGAGTGCTATAACAATACACCTTCCATGTAAGACTCCGTTGGATTCGGGTGATATAACGATATGCTTTGCTGCACTGATCATTTCTGATAGAGTGATACGTTTTCAGCGATATCCGCTCCCGCGGGTGATTCAATAATCCGCTAACTACCAATAATCAAGCTGTTTTCTCGCATAACTATCTTCTCTTATAGCCGTATAAACTGTTTTTCGGCTTCGCGTACAGACTATCTGTCTCTTTCGTCATCGCCTTAGCACTCTTCTTCCTATTCATCGCCTCCAACCTCCGCCCCTGAAGTCGGTGAAGGTAATCTTGATACGCCTTCTCCCACCGTTCCTCAGTCACCGAACTTTTAGCCCAGCCAATAAGGTCTAACAACATATCGTTCAACACATCCAGCGGCACGCGTTCCTCCTCATTGCCACCCTCTTCCGCAAGTACCACGCTGTGCAACCGCTTGCCCATGTAGATCACTAGTTTCTTGTTTCCACTGAGATCTTCTTCTTTGGGGTCGTTTACCTTGAAGAGTCCTGCATCGAGTGTTGCTTTAATACTCACGATATCGTCTTCTCGCACGTCCCATTCGGTTCGTGGTATAGGTTTGCCCTGTTCACATTAATATTCTAACATGAGAAGTAGAAACCTGCACATCTAGAATACGGATACTAGAATGTATTGGAAAATGTGTATGTAACAAACAGAATCTCGAAAGCGAGCCTATAACCAATACAAATTAGCTTCCGAGATACTATTCGGACAGTGTAATAACAGAAACAATGAATGAGAAGCCGAGCAGACATACCTGAATATCAAAGAGAGTCACCATGGAGGGTTTAGAGTCGTAGACATATTCTATCAGCGTATCCACCCCGAATGATTTCTTTGGTGGATCAGTCGACGGTATCTAAAATTAGGTAGAAATATAGGTGTGCGAACTAGTATCTACAGACGAATACTTTACACGTTGACTTACGGTCTATCATCGGCAAATTTTCTAATGCAAAGGGGCGCACATCTCGAACATTTTCTACCAAGAGGGGCGAGAAAGTTATCCGAAAGGTGCACTGGCCACTTGTGTCGCCCTGAAACCAATGTAAGCTAGATGTCAAAAGTAACTGGTAAGTTCTAGTGTTTTTTTTTACAAACACACATCTTCACACACACAGGTGTCTATATATATATTATACATATAAATACATATAAATACATATAAATACATATATATACATATATATATATATATATATACATATATATATATATATATATATATATATATATATGTGTGTTGTGCAAGATCTCCAATCATACAGGTATTGACGGCGGTGTTTCTATGCAGGTGCACTCGTGCGCCCATGCAAGTGTCCTGGACACAGACCTGCTGCGAATGATAAGTATGCGTTAGTCATTACTTCCGCTGTCCGTGTGCACACTTACCCTAGAACCGTCCCTCACGGGCCAAAAGGCCTTGGTCTTAAAGAATGTGTAGTTGCCTTGCTCTTTCGCAGAACCGTCAGCATCGCGTTCCACCTTACTGGGCTCATATGCAAGGTCCTGCAGTGCCATTCGCAGTTGCCTTTCCTTGTCCACTACCGTACTGAAACGTTCTTTGATCATCGGATAGTCATTGCCATTGGTCGAGAGATGATCGAGATATTTGTCAAACAAGGCGAGTAGCCAAGCTTCGTATTCCTGCGTGAAACGTCACAAAAGAGGTGTGAGCCCGAGAGACGCACATATTAAGGAAAATATCGAACCTTACAATGTATATGCATATACGAAGTAAACAGTGTGAGGAATTGTCTGCAACAGTTGGTTCGGTGAACTCGTAGTGCCGCATGTGGTCGAGGAAGATGATCGGAGAATACAAACATATAGTTACGTCCGGCAGACTTAGCAAATATCTAGGTGCAGTCTAATGACAATGCTTGCATAGCATACGAATATTTTACAATTCGACACTCATAATAAAAGCTTCAAGCCGAAGAAAGCGACTTTGAATAATATATTTCACTAGTGATATCGTTCCGGCAAGAGTCCAATTTAATAACAACGTTGGACACACGCGTGCAATCAAATCTCACCACCAATCGAGAGTGTCTGTGGATATGACTTTGGAACCGAAGCTTTAAGGCAACACGCGCGCTGTGCAAGTTAGACACATATACGCAGCAAAAAACCAAGAAACCAGTGGAATGGCGCATTGAGTTCAAATCCAATAGTTTTTGACATATCGCAGTCTCTCTAGTACCTCCAACCCTAATCTTTACTAAAACATTACTTTCGAAATTTGAACCCGTGTGAGAACTTACCATGTATTGCTTGTTGACAATATCCACATCTACTGCCAAGGGCTTACACCCGATCCCCATCTCATACTCCGCCTTCTGTATATCCACAATTTTGTCCTCTGCACCAAAAATGTTTTTGCCCAAGCTACCCAACAACGTGAATGACGACGCCATCACACGCGCGAACGGTGTCACGTGCAATATCCCAGGCGCCACAGCGTTCTTATAGAAGAACGCGGGAGCCTGTGTTTCAATGAGGATGGTTGAAAGATCAATGAAAGGAAGACTTGTTCATCGTCTGACGAAATACCAATTACATACCGGGTACTGTATTGCGCCACAGTTATTGTTCTTTGCTTACGATATTTCTTGTGAACCCAGCAAATATAAACATACCATCACTATTGGATAGTGATAAAAACAGGTACAATGAGTACCATTAATACATACCCGTATATAGATACGTTCACTTATATGTATTTATAAATATACACACAGAAATTGATAATATATATATATATATATATATATATATATGTATGTATATATGTATGTATGTATGGTTTATATGTACGTGTATGTGTATGTATGTATGTATGTATGTATGTATGTATGCATGCAT